AAAAAAAAAAAAAAAAAAAAAAAAGAAAATCACTCGTAAACTTCACGTTGTAATATCTCATAACGATCAACGTAGTTGCATGTCAAGATTCTCCAAAAACATTCTCAAAAAAAGAAAAGAAAATCATTCGTAAACCTCACGTTGTAATATCTCATAACGATCAACGTAGTTGCATGTCAAGATTCTCCAAAAACATTCTCAAAAAAAGAAAAGAAAATCATTCGTAAACCTCACGTTGTAATATCTTATAACGATGAACGTAGCACGTCAAGATTCTCCAAAAACATTTTCAAAAAAAAAAAAAGAAAACTCGTAAACCTCACGTTGTAATATCTCGTAATAATGAACGTAGTGGCACGTAGAAGATTCTCCAAAAATATTTTCAAAAAAAGAAAAGAAAACCACTCATAAACCTCACGTTGTAATATTTCGTAATAATGAACGTAGTGGCACGTAGAAGATTCTCCAAAAATATTCTCAAAAAAAGAAAAGAAAACCACTCGTAAACCTCACGTAATATCTCGTAACTATGAACGTAGTGACACGTCAAAATTCTCCAAAAACATTCTCAAAAAAAAAGAAAACGACCACTCGTAAATACAAACTCATAAATATCAAACCTCACGTTGTAATAGCTCGTAACGATCAACGTAGTGACACATCAAGATTCTCCAAAAACATTTTCAAAAAAAAAAAAAAAGAAAATCTCACGTTGTAATATCTCGTAATAATGAACGTAGTGGCACGTAGAAGATTCTCCAAAAACATTTTCAAAAAAAGAAAAGAAAACTCGTAAACCTCACGTTGTAATAACTCGTAACGATCAACGTAGTGACACATCAAGATTCTCCAAAAACATTTTCAAAAAAAAAAAAGAAAACTCGTAAACCTCACGTTGTAATATCTCGTAATAATGAACGTAGTGGCACGTAGATTCAAGATTCTCCAAAAACATTCTCAAAAAAAAAAAAAAAGAAAACCACTCGTAAACCTCACGTTGTAATATCTCGTAATAATAAACGTAATGACACGTCAAGATTCTCCAAAAATATTCTCAAAAAAAGAAAAGAAAACTCGTAAACCTCACGTTGTAATATCTCGTAACGACCAACATAATAGATTCAAGACTCTCCAAAAATTCTTCCATTTTCAAAAAAAAAAAAAAAAAGAAAAAGAAAACAACCACTTTCGAATAAAACGAAAAACAAAACAAAAAAAGAAACGAAAGAGGGGAGGAAGAAGAACAAAAAGAAACACCGATAATTCCATCCTCAGGAACCGCGACGAGAGAAGAAGAAGAAGAAGAAGAAGAAGAAGAAGAAGAACTCGTCGTCGCGGCGAATCGATCTCCTCCTCCTCCTCCTCCTCCTCCTCCTCCTATCTTATCGGTGCTACGATTCTCTCTTTTCTCCTCCTCCCCTCAGATCTTCCTCGCTCTCGATTCGACTACATACACATACATATACATATACATATATATACCTAGCTGAGGGCAAAGGGTGGCTCCTAGGCGCCGCTGGGTGCAAGTTCACGCGCCGCGACTCTCCCGACTTGTTCCCGCGCCTTTGTATACGAATCTACAACCCTCTCTCTCTCTCTCTTTCTCTCTCTCTATATATATATACATATATACCCACACACGTAACCGTACATATACCTACGTGTATCCATGTAGGTGCGTGTGTGTGTGTGGGCGTCCCGGCGCTTTGTGGCGCGTTGAACCGCGGCCCCTTTGTCGTCGACGAAGAGAGAGAGAGAGAGAGAGAGAGAGAGAGAGAGAGAGAGAGAGAGAGGCCTGGGGGCTGTGTGGAAACGGTTGGCCGCGCGGCAACACCGAACGGCCGAGAGGGCCCCACCCTGTGGACGGCGCTGGCACAATCATCTCGCGGAGATGAGAGGAGCCCCCGGTTGCCCGCGGCCACCTTGTTATGAGCGGGTGTGTGGACGGACTGGGCCAGGTTACAACTCCATGGATCACCTGGCAAAGGGCGAATTAACGCTTTGACTCTCCGCTCTCGGCGAGAGAAAGTGGGGAGGGAGGGAGAGAGGAGGAGGAGGAGGAGGAGGAGGAGGAGGAGGGGTTTTATCTAAAAGGAGGAGGGAGGAGGGAGGGAGAGGGTGGTTTGTTGGTTTTTCGAGGATTTTGTCCTCGGGAGGAGAAGTGGAAGGTCTGTGGAAGGGGGATGATGGGAGTTCGAGAGGAGTTGTGATTGGTTAGTATTCGACGTAAAACTTTGAATAGTTGGAGTAGGAATGATGGAAGGATGGAGTCGTGTTTCAATTAAGTTTATATGAGGGTGTTAAGTTTATAAAAAGTATCTGTTTGCTTGTATTTTTTGTAAAGGTGAGGAGGAATGGTGGAATGGTTGCTCTTTTATTAGTTCTAACTGTTTGTACTGTTTGGAAAAGTACTTTTTTTATCATCGTCGAAAATTTGAATTAAACGAAACTAGTAGCTCGACATAAGTATATTTTTATTATTATTTTTATTATTATTATCGTCGAAAATTTGAATTAAATGAAACTAGTAGTAAGAAATAAGTAATGGAAAGGTATTTTTTTATTATTGTTGAAAACTTGAATTAAATAAAATTAGTAGCCCGAGATAAGTATATTTTTATCATCGTCGAAAATTTGAATAAAATGAAACTAGTAGCAAAGATAAATAATGGAAAGATATCTTTTCATCATCGTCGAAAATTTGAATTAGATGAAACTAATAGCAAAAGATAAGTAGAGGAAAGATATTATTGTCATTGTCGAAAATTTGAATTAAATGAAAATAGTAGCAAGAGATAAGTAATGGAAAGGTATTTTTTTATCATCGTTGAAAATTTGAATTAAATAAAATTAGTAGCGAGATAAGTATATTTTTATCATCGTCGAAAATTTGAAGAAAATGAAACTAGTAGCAAAGATAAATAATGAAAAGATATATTTTTATCATCGTCGAAAATTTGAATTAAGTGAAACTAATTCAATAGCAAAAGATAAGTAGAGGAAAGATATTATTCTCATCATCGAAAATTTGAATTAAATAAAACTAGTATCAGAAGATAAGCAAAGGTATATTTTTATTATCGTCGAAAATTTGAATTAAATGAAATTAGTAGCAAGAGATAAGTAATGGAAAGGTATTTTTTTATCATCGTTGAAAACTTGAATTAAATGAAACTAGTAGCCCGAGATAAGTATATTTTTATTATCGTCGAAAATTTGAATTAGATGAAACTAGTAGCAAGAGATAAATAATGGAAAAATATCTTTTCATCATCGTCGAAAATTTGAAGTAAATAAAACTAGCAGCAGAAGATATATTTTTATCATTATCGAAAATTTGAATTAAATGAAACTAATAGCCCGAGATAAATATATTTTTATCATCATCGTCGAAAATTTGAATTAGATGAAACTAGTAGCAAGAGATAAATAATGGAAAAATATCTTTTCATCATCGTCGAAAATTTGAAGTAAATAAAACTAGCAGCAGAAGATATATTTTTATCATCATCGAAAATTTGAATTAAATAAAACTAATAGCAGAAAATAACCAAAGGTATATTTTTATCATCATCGAAAATTTGAATTAAATAAAACTAGTAGCAGAAGATATATTTTTATCATCATCGAAAATTTGAATTAAATAAAACTAGTAGCAGAAAATAACCAAAGGTATATTTTTATCATCATCAAAAATTTGAATTAAATAAAACTAATAACAGAAAATAACCAAAGGTATATTTTTATCATCATCGAAAATTTGAACTAGATGAAACTAATAGCCTGAGATAAATAATGGAAAAATATCTTTTCATCATCGTCGAAAATTTGAAGTAAATAAAACCAGTAGCAGAAGATATATTTTTATCATCATCGAAAATTTGAATTAAATAAAACTAGTAGCAGAAAATAACTAAAGGTATATTTTTATCATCATCAAAAATTTGAATTAAATAAAACTAATAACAGAAAATAACCAAAGGTATATTTTTATCATCATCGAAAATTTGAATTAAATAAAGCTAGCAGCAGAAGATATATTTTTATCGTCATCGAAAATTTGAACTAGATGAAACTAGTAGCCTGAGATAAGTAATAAAAAGATATTTTTTTTCATCATCGTCGTGGAAAATTGCAGACGAAACTGGTACAGCCGGTTGACAATTACTATCTGAATTACTATCTGAATTCTTTTTTAACGGCGACGGTAAGCGATATCTGTTGAGAAAAGAAGCGGTTTTAATAATAGCGGCGAGATTTTCATTAGTTCGGTATATTAGTTGGATGGAACACGCCGTGGCGCAATCCGTTTCACGTGGTTGGAAGGTTTGGCCTGGGGTGGTTTGATGTAAACGGCTTGTGGTTTCGACGCCTCGTTAGATTGCAATCACCATGGATCAGTTATCAAAGAGGGAATTGATGGTTTCGTTCGCACGTGCGGATCGTACACGCGACGGGGACACCATTTTCAAACTGAAAATTGAAGGACAAACAGGCGTGTCCGTGCTTCGAACCCCGTTCCCCTTCCAACTTTTCGATTTTAAACCTTTCCTTCATTCTCTAATCATTATATTCTTCGATGAAAAAACAAAAATAATCCATTCGTTGGATCGAGAATTCGCTTAATTACACT